ACGTGTTTCTGGTCTCGCGACAATCTTCAGGTAAAAGTGGAGATTTCTACATATTATTAAAATAATTAATTTTCTTCATGTTCAGTAAATATTCTCGATATTACCAACACACAAACAGAGAATGTCTCATATCGAGAATATTTCACATTGAACATGAAGAAAAATTAATTATTTTTAATAATATGTAGAAATCTCCACTTTTACCTGAAGACGGTCGTAAAATTATGTAAAACAAAGCATATTTTTTTCAAAATAAATCCACATTACAACCAAAAACGTTAGCGGCACCTTCTCTTCTTTTTTTATATATATATATATATATATATATATATATATATATATATATATTCCAGATGTTGTGTAGTGGAAATTACTCGCCACTACACATTTACATTTCAGAAATTCTAAGCAAATGAACACACATCAGATTATTGTAGGAATCACTTTTTCATCAAGCTGAAAAAATTTCCTGTACCCAGTATATATATATATATATATATATATATATATATATATATATATATATAAAAAGAAAACAAGGACGCCACAAAAACAGTGCTGGATGCAAAATATAAACAAACAGAAAAAGCATCTATATAAATAAACCGCATTGTACTTGCGTCCGTCCGTCTGTCCGTCCGTCCGTCCGTCCGTCCGTCCGTCTGTTTTCCGATCTCGGCGAATCACAAACAACCTGAAGTCAAAAGTAGTAACCGCTGTAGATACACGGGATTAAAAATTAAATAATTAACTCCTTTAAAGTTAAATTAAATAACGAACAGAGTGAAAGGTTTAAAAAAAAACAATTCTTTCTTAAAGGTTTAACTTCAATTTCATATTTCGTCGCAACAGTTCGACCTTGCATGGAGTATTGCTGCCATATATGGTCTGGAGGCCCTTCTGTTTGCCTCGGGGTTCTTGATGAGCTCCAGAGGCGGGTATGCAATATAATTGGCCCTGTTCTGGCATCTCGTCTAGAATCGCTCTCTCAAAGACGCGCCGTCGCCTCTCTCTGTCTTTTTTTTACAAATACTTTCATAGCAAATGCTCCGAGGAGCTGCATTCGCTGGTTCCCAGACTTCATGAATTCAAGCGCCCTA